ATATAACATGAATTCGGATATAACGCAGTAAAGCAGCGCTCCAGGGGGGCGGGGCTGCACACTCCAGTGGATCAAAGCAAGTTCGATATAACGCTGTTTCACCTATAACGCAGTAATATTTTTTGGCTCCCGAGGACAGCGTTATATCAGAGTAGAAGTGTTATATATCTATATCTATAAGCTTTAGAAGGAGGGCAGGCCTCTCACCTCTTTCCCAAACACCAAACTGCAGACTATTTTATACCATTATATGTGTTCCCCTTGAAAGAAAAGACTGAATTTGCCTCTAGTTATACAGATCTGTAAAATGAGTATGACTACAGGTCCACAGTAGACTTGTGAGTACATCAAGGCTAAGGGAGTCCTTCACTTAGCAATAATGACAATATGCAAGATCATCCATTAGACTAATGAAATACATTGTTTTTTTTAATGGGAAGATGAACATGAATGCTAAGTTATCCTCACTATTTTTTAAATCTAAAAACCTGACTTGGGTTACAGATTTCCAAAGGAAAGATATAACTATTTTAGGGCCTGATGATCCTGTAAGTATCTATTCTGGGGTGTGATGCTTATTACTGCGAGTAGAAGCCCATCGACTTTATTGGTTAGTCGTAAGGCTTTGCTGGATCAGGTCCTTAGACTGTAAACTCCTGAAGAGAAGAAACATGTCTGTATTATTGCTGTAAAATGCTATGCACACCTACAATACTGTGCTATACATAAGTGTTAAATAATAATGTTAAATAACTTGCTTTTCCCTTTTATTGTCAAACAGCTGAATTACCATTATTAGATCCTACCAGATTGTAGAGAATCCACTTACCTACAGTGCATTGAGGAGGCAGAAATAAATAATGGGAAGACACATTTTGTATAGGCCTGATTCTACATTGTCTTGCATCTTGTGTAGTCACTGACATCAGTACACAGAAAGGACAGTTACCTGGTTCCGTAACTGGCATTCTTCGAGATGTGTTGCTCAGGTGTATTCCACTACAGGTGTGCGTGCTTGCCACATGCACCGGTATCGGAAGTTTTTCCCTTAGCAGTACCCGTAGTGGGGGAGCACCGCTGCGACCCCTGGAGTGGCGCCGACATATTGCGCCATAAAGGGGGCTGAGTGCTCACCCCACCCTCAGTTCCTTCTTGCCAGACAACTCCGACAGAGGGGAAGGAGGGTGGGACATGGAATACACCTGAGCAACACATCTCGAAGAACGCCAGTTACGGAACAGGTAACTGTCCTTTCTTCTTCGAGTGATTGCTCATGTGTATGCCACTATAGGTGACTCCAAGCTATCCCTGATGGAGGCGGGTAGGAGTTTCAACTGTAAAAATTTTAGGGGTTACCCGGGTGGAGCACCGCCCTACCAAACCCGGCGTCATCCCTTGTCTGGGAGACGATCACATAGTGCGATGAAAAAGTGTGGACAGAGGACCATGTAGCAGCCCTACAGATGTCCTGAATAGGGACATGAGCCGCATAGGCCGCTGACGAGGCCTGAGCTCTCGTCGAATGCGCCTTTATAATAGGAGGCAGGGGAACCCCTGCCAGGTTGTAACAGGTGCGAATGCACAAAGTGATCCAGTGGGAGATCCTTTGGGTGGAGACCGGTCGCCCCCTCATGCGCTCGGCCGAAGCAATAAAAAGCTGGGGGGACCTCCTAAATGGCCTGGTTCTGTCTAGGTAAAAAGCCAGCGCTCTGCGCACGTCTAACATGTGCAGGTGGCGTTTCTCATTGGAGGAATGGGGCTTAGGACAGAGGATCGGGAGGAAAATATCCTGATCCATATGGAAAGCCGAGACTACCTTCGGCAAGAAGGCAGGGTGAGGGCGGAGCTGAACCTTGTCCTTATGAAAGACCGTATACGGCGGTTCAGAGGTCAGGGCCCTGAGCTCGGAGACTCGGCGGGGTGAGGTGATAGCCACTAAGAACACCACCTTCCACGACAGGTGGGACCACGAACACGTGGCTAACGGCTCAAAGGGAGGCCCTGTGAGGCGGGAGAGTACCAGGTTTAGATCCCAGAGCGGGACCAGGGGTCTGGCGTACGGGAATGATTAAAGGTCTTGAGAACATGACCTATGAAGGAAGGCTGAAAGAATTGGGTTTGTTTAGTTTGGAAAAGAGAAGACTGAGAGGGGACATGATAGCAGTTTTCAGGTATTTAAAAGGGTGTCATAAGGAGGAGGGAGAAAACTTGTTCACCTTAGCCTCTAAGGATAGAACAAGAAGCAATGGGTTTAAACTGCAGCAAGGGAGGTTTAGGTTGGACATTAGGAAAAAGTTCCTAACTGTCAGGGTGGTTAAACACTGGAATAAATTGCCTAGGGAGGTTGTGGAATCTCCATCTCTGGAGATATTTAAGAGTAGGTTAGATAAATGTCTATCAGGGATGGTCTAGACAGTATTTGGTCCTGCCATGCGGGCAGGGGACTGGACTCGATGACCTCTCGAGGTCCCTTCCAGTCCTAGAATCTATGAATCTATAAGTCCAACACCCCCAAAGTCTCTGGGGTCCAGCAACCACCCAAAGTCCCAAAAGTCCAACAACCCCCAAAGTCTCTGTCCCTGGTCAGTGCAGCCCCAGAGTAAAAGGGGGGCACGCAGCGTGTTAAGGGGCACCTTACGTGATCCGAGGCCGGCCGGCCGTCTCTCCGTGGGGTTCCGCCGCAGCCTTCACCACAAGCCAGTCCACTTCCTGCCGTCCCACGAACTGCTCTACTCTACGAGCTGCTCCGCTCCGCTCCAGCTGTCCCTGCAAATGGCTCCGCTCGGCTCAGCAACCTGTGAGCCGCTCCAGACGTCCCTGCAAACGGCTCCGCTCGCCATTCCTTGGGCAGCTCCAACCATCCCCGCAAGGCTCCGCGCCACTCGCTGCTCCTCCAGCCGTCCCCGCAAACTGCTCCGCCAGCCGCTTAGCAATATAGCTTCAGGCTCCCCCACTAGTTAACACAGCACTCAGTGATCTCAGCTCTTAGTAACTTTAGCTCTTTTGTGATTTCAGCTCGTAGTAGGGGAGCCCCAGTGCTGGTGCACCATTGGCCCAAAGTGAATTCAGCTCAGCAGCCTGTAACTAGACTCCTAATGGAATCAAAGTTAGTTCTGACATTCAACAGTGGAGAGAGGAGGTAGTGCAATCGGCGGCCAATGGCATCATGGGCTCCACATCCAGGTTTGGTGCCGGAGTCAGTGCCTGGGGTTCGGTACCCACGACCTGATCACGGTGCCGGGAAGGTGACGAGGGTCGGCACTGAGAGGCACCCGTCACGGAGCGAGGACCTGGTTGCACAGGTGCCTGAGGCCACGGTGCCCACTGGCACCATTGTCCTTGCCAGGGCACGGCCTGGAGCAGAGGCGCATCGGGCGCCGGCAGGGCAGACTGGTCCTCGGTGCGGTGCGGCCCTGGGAGAGACGGGTGCGCGCTGATGCTGAGGTCCGGGAGGAGAGCACGGTGCCGTCAGAACGGCTGGAGCGGTCTCGATCATGATGGCTCCTGCCCCAGGACTTCGACCTAGAGGAGGTCGAGATATATATGTCCAAGGAGCTGTCCCTGGAGTCCTTGTGGCGCCTTGGTGCCAGGGACTCTCGGGACGCGCCGCGAGCATGGCCTCTGACACGGCGGGCGCTTGAGTAGGAGTGTCGGTGCCGACGGCGTCGCGACCTGTTCCTCTCGGACTCACTGGAAGAGGAATGGCGCTGTCTCTTGCCACCTCCTCGATGGTGCTTGAGACCGGAGGAGTGGGATCCGCTCCAGGAAGAGTCCGGACGCGGAGTCAATGCGCGTCGTAGGGCTCTGACCGGCACCTCGACCCGGGAAGGTGCCTCGGCCTCCGACACCTCCGAGGAGTGCTGATGGGCACCCAAGGGCGGCTTTCCACGGGACCGTGGGCCCGACTGCGGCGGCGCTTCCAGCACTGGAAGCGTCAGTATATCACGTGCGGCCTGAGCCTCTGGCGTCGAAGGCATGCGTACCTCAGGTGAGGCTCGCGCGGACGGGACTGGACTACTCCACTCAGCGCGAGTAGGAGGTCTCTGTCCCGGTGGGGATCGCGGGCTGCCCAACCTCACCCCGTCCTCTCGGCGCCGCTGAGACTTCCCTGGCTTCTTAGCTAGGGAGCGGTGCCGGGACGTCGACCGTGCCTCTCTGCGCACCGAGGAAGCGGTACCGGGTGCAGATTCGGAACGGCGCACTGGAGGCGCTTCTCCACGTGCCGACGACGCGGAGCCCAGCGCGGTGTCAGCTCGACGCACCGGTGTCGGGGCCAATGCTGACTCCATTAAAAGAGCTCGGAGTCGGATCTCACGCTCCTTCTTCGTCTGCGGCGTGAAGAAGCGGCAGATCTTGCATTTCTCACTAACGTGAGACTCGCCCAGACAGCAAAGACACTGATTGTGTGGATCACTTCTGGGCATGGAGTTGCGACAGGAGTCGCTTGACTTGAAGCCTGGGCCACGGGGCATGCCCCGAGCCAGGCACTCGCGAAAGAAAGTTCAGTAAGGGAAGAGATCAGTGAAACTGGATACCACTAAGCTAGAAACGCTGCAGCTACGCTAAGTTGGAGCAAGTTCCGACTACCTTCACTGGCGGCAAGATGGAACTGAGGGTGGGGGGAGCACGCAGCCCCCTTTATGGCGCGATATGTCGGCGCCACTCCAGGGGTCGCAGCGGTGCTCCCACCCTAAGGATACTGCTAAGGGAAAAACTTCTGGTACCGGTGCACATGGCGAGCATGCACACCTATAGTAGAATACACATGAGCAATCACTCGAAGAAGGACTCCACAGTTCTGATTTGATAGCATTTTACGCCCACCTTCTGCAATTGTCAATAGTTATACAAGATGCTAGGCAGTGAAGAGTCAGGCTCCCTTTATCTAAATGATACTTTCATCTGTGGACACAAAACAACAACAAACATTTAACTAAAGTAAAAATGAGCATACAGTGTTATATATTGAAGTAGTAGATGATAACTGAAATTAAACTTACAGGTAACAGTGTCATTTTCCGGTTTTGTCCAGTTCAGTATGACAAAGCTTGGACAACCCTCGACTGTCACCACAGTGAGGTTGGAAGGAGGATTTTGTGGAGGGCTAGTAGCATTTTCCATGTCGCTGATCTTCTTTTCTTGGAAGTATTTGAGAGTTCTCGTAATAGAACATGGCTCGCTGTCATTTTTTGGCATGTACTTGACGTGAGGGCCTAGGAGAAAAGCATCACCCAGTTAGTGCTAGGTAGGACAGCAGAATGCAGCTACAAGGCAAAACTTATTTAAGTGCATGAAGTAGGAAATCCTGCCTGACAAATCATGTCCAAAATCTCACACAGATGCCATTCTGTGATGGTCACATCTACACTTTGTGTGCGCATTGTATTCTGTGAGTATGTTTTAACTATTATTTTCCAATTTTTTTGTAACTTATCTTCTCTAATGCCTACATGTGAGAGACAGAATAATAAATATCCCAACACCAACACGTTGGTGTGATTTTTGTACACCTGGAGCCTGTGCTCATTTCACCCATCTCTCATTCGCACGAGTGATGATGGCAGTGGGCACTCAAAATTGCAGGGACAGTGTTACATAGGAGTCAACAGGGTGAAGGCACAGCTAAATATTCTGAGCAAGTGAATTAGTTTCTATCACAAACTGGGACAAGGACAGACTTTGATTATCTATTTTTACAGTGTCTAGAAGAATGAAGCCCTGCTGCAACAAGGATTTGTCAAGAATAAATCTTGCCACACCCACCTAACTTCCTTCTCTGACAGGGTTACTGCTCTCGTGGATGGTGGGGGAAGAAGGGAAGCTGTAGACATGATACATCTTGATTTTAGTAAGGCTTTTGACACAATCCCACATGACATTCTCATAAGAAAACTAGGGATATGTGGTCTAGATGAAAAACCTGGTTGAAAAACCATATTCAAAGAGTAGCTAATAATGGTTTATCATCAAACTGGGAGGTTGTCTCTAGTGGAGTCCTACAGGGGTCTATCCTGGGTTCTGTACTATTCAATATTTTCATCAATAACTTGGATAAGGGAGTGGAAAGTATGCTTATAAAATCTGTGAATGACACCAAGCTGGGAGGGGGACTGGACTCGATGACCTCTCGAGGTCCCTTCCAGTCCTAGAATCTATGAATCTATGAATCACCTCAGCAGTTCAGGCTCCATTTCCTGCAGGCAACAGATCGCGCTGCACAGAAACCGTTGAAAGATGGCGCCAAAGGTGGACGGAAACAAAGGGATTTCTGGGATGTGAAGCGATGCATCACGGGGCGTTGGGAGAGGACCCAGAATGCCCTGCACCCACGCCCCCTTCCCACAACTCACGGCGCCAGAATGGGAAGAGGTGCTCTGTGGGATAGCTGGCCATTACCTCCCATGTCTTACATATGACACTTCCGTTAATACACCCGAAAATGGTATTAGCTATTAGGCTATTGGCAAGGAATGCCAGACTGAGAGAGAACTGCTACACCATTCCTGGTCATGAGGAGGCACTCTACTGATGAGTCCAACACTTCTACAGATATATATAGATGGGGAAATATATGAAAACTGACTTAATAACCAAGGAATGTAGCCATTACAGTCATACCTGTGAACCGTTGTTTGCCCAGAGAATCAGTCTCTGATGTAGGACTCGAGCTGAAGACAGTTGTATTAACTGAGGAAGACACAGTCACAATAAAATTCTCAGAAAAGCATCAAGTTGCAATATAAAAATGACAACATCTCATATTTCATCTGCCATTCTAAATTACCTCTCCATGGTGCATGCTTGCTGTCATTTTTGCTTTCTCCTAGTAGTCACCTCATTTTGGCTGTGATGGAAAATAAAAGCCTAGCTTCTCTGCCAAAACCAGGATAATCATTACCCAAATGAATGAGCTCATTATTGCTGTCAAATCCAGTCCATGCAGAATATCCACACTCCTCTTTAAAGCTCCAACAAAGCATCTTTTTGCATCACATTGACTCTCCACCCTTTAACTCATGGTCTGGCTCAGTCTCCATCAGCACATTAGACTATTACATTGATTCAGTAGAGCTTCCACAATCAAAATGGCAAATATGGGCCAAATTCTGTCTTCACAGCATGCAATTCCCATTAAAATCAATAAAAGCAAAGTGCAAGTATGCTGGAAGCCAGTGGAAGTACATGAAAAAGCAGAATAGGACCCATGAAGTTAATATTTCATAATTAAATATTAATTATGGCAAACAAAATGGACCAAATTCTGCACTTAGACGCAAACCCTGCTTCCGTCAAAGTATATGGCGCCATGGCAGTCACAAGTGAGAAATCATTCAAAGGTATATTTCAGCCTGATAAATCTGAAGAGGTTTGAATAAATATTTTATATTAAGTTATATAAAATTAAGAAAAGCACTCTGCATGTGTCTCTTTTTAAGTTTTAAGGTCCCTAAGTTATTTCAGCCTACACTAGTGCTTTATACAACTCTCCAAGTGAAGCAGCTCTTATTTTCCCAAACTCATATGAGTTTAAAAACCAGATCTAGTGGCTTGTACCCATCTCATATTACTTCTTATATGCAAGGGGGCTGGATTATCAGAGTAACTAGGTGGATATATACAACAATAATACCACCGTGTAGATCACAGATGAGTAACAGCTTGACATGAATGTGTGGCACTACATATAGTGAAACTCTCAGAAAAGGAGGCTACATCTTGTGGTGCCTCAACACAATTCAAGTGGCCTCTATAGTAAGTATCAAAAGTGTGTGAGGCATGTACAGACTTCTCGGAAGACAAAGGGCCTTATTCTGATATCACATAGATGCAAATCAGGAGTAAGTCAGTTGAATTCAATGCAGTTACACTAGTGCAGAAGTGGTGTAAGTGAGATCAGAATCAGAACTAGTCCAGAGGCCCTTATATTAAATAGATAACATAAATACAAGTGTTTGGGGAAGGGATGCAACAAAAATTTAAGTGACTGATACAATCAAGTAGCTGAATTGCATGGAACTTTAATACAGGAGCTCCCTGAACTTTAGATAAAAACAAACAAAGATAAAACAAAACTGCTCCTAACATGCTTACCATAGTCTTCTGGAGGAGAAGCAGAAACTGTTGGCTTCTTTCTTGGTGTTTCCATCCTCAGAGATATGGTTGGTCCAGTAGATTTAGCTACAATCGTCGTGGGAGAAGGTGGAGCTCGTGACTTCAAGGCAATTCCTATGTGGAAGAAGTGAGCTTGTTTTCTTTTGAACACAACTCAGATTTTTACGACTGTTTAGTCGGAAAAAGAGTGGGATCATGTATTTAGGAGGAAGCACCTATTTCCATCTTCAAGCCTAGCTCCCCCCTCAGCACAGCACCATTTTCCAGTTGGACTCAAGAAAGACTGGACAAATCCTGATTGCAGCTAAAACAATATAGTCTACACCTTCAATATATAAAAAAATGCTAGGTCACTCAAACTTTGATTTCTGAGGGATATAGGCAGATAAAAATTGAATATAGTTAGTTGAATATACTACAGGGCGCAATCCTACACTAATTGGTAAAGGGACAAAATTACCCAATAAAACTTTTTTGTTTCTCTCATCTATAATTCTCTGCTTCTAGGTTAATGGTGATGGTTTACGCCTATGACAAGGTACATGATGAGAGAGCTAAATTCAGTAACTGAGACTTGGACTCTTCCCGTGTAATACTGTTTTTAAGTTCCTTTCATTTGCATAGTCAACATGGTGGGCACATTACCAAGTCCATAGTATGAAGGAGGATTATGGATGTAAACAGCCAGCCAGCAAGGGTTGTCTTAATTACAGCTGAATTTACACAGCTGAACAATGGAACCCTAAAAAGTTTGTTACAGTATTTCCTAGGGCAGCTCTAAATCCATTCAAGACAAACAGCATGACTTTCATTAGTTCTGCCCAACATTTTGTACAATCTACAGCACAATGGGCTCAGAAATTGGGTAGGATGGTTTTATTCTGGGCTGGACAGACCCTTTTTTATAGTAAGCAATATCCATCTTGAGAAGGCGTTGATGAGTAGCGCTATTATTCTCCATTGAAAATAAATGACTAAATTATTTGCCATTTTTAATTATTTTAGATCATGGGATATTGTTTTTATTCTCTCCTGGTATCAATTAAATGATGAAGACAAGTATTTGAAGAGGTGGATGGTTTGTGGCAAAATATTTCTACAGTAGAACGTCAGACAACATTTTTCTTCTGCATAGTAAAGTTTCAAATCTGTATCAAGTCAATGTTCAGTTGTAAACTTTTGAAAGAACAACCATAACGTTTTGTTCATAGTTACAAACATTTCAGAGTTATGAACAACCTCCATTCCCGAGGTGTTTGTAACTCTGCGGTTCTACTGTAGTTTGTTTTCAAAAAGTAAGTGGAAGTCCAAAATTACATTTGAAAAAGGTCAGATATTTTCTAACAAATATTGCATGGCAAATCTCAAAGAGTTCAAATACTATATAATTTAGGCCTGCTCCCTGCTTATCATGACACTAGAGATAGTCAATATTTTTCACACAAAACATTTTTTTGTTGATAAATGCAGATTTGCCAACATTGAAACATTTTGCAAATTCATATCAATTTTGCCAAATTTACAGTAAAAACAAAGAAACAAATCCCCCCAAAAGAAACATTTTCACTTTTTTTGGTTCAAAATGATTTAATTTCAAAACTTCCTATAATTTTATAAACACACCGTGACATTCTATACCTTGGGGGAGCATCCTGGATCCTCCATAATCCTCATTTTTATATAATCGTGATCTTACATATAAAGCATGCCTTGTAGGGTATCAGGGGAAAGGTAATGATCTATTAAAAGTCATTTCTCTATCCATATATGTATATCATTAATGCATATGAAGTTATGAGAATTGTGTTGTATGGTTGTCACTAAAACATGCTGTAAGCTGGGGAATCAGCCAGATATTAGCTCCCCACAGGCAACTGCAAGGAAAGTAACCAACACCCGAGCAGGGTATCAATCCACCCATCGACAACTATTGTCCAGCAAGGGAGCTACAATGCAATGACTCACCTGCATGAGGCCTCACTGGGGGAATTGTTCAGCCTTGCCTGGAGACTAGGCAATGCACCCAGACATGCTTGGACTTGTGTTCCCCAAGCACATGGGACTGAGGTTATAAAACAGATACAGTGGCCACATGCTGTGCCTTTTCTCCTGCCCCTTCCTATGCTGCAAGCAACAAAGACACTGAGAAGAAGACTGAAGACTCCAACTGAGGGGACTGGCCCAGATTTTAAGGGTGAAATCTGTATACTATGGACTGCAATATCCATTGGGGTGAGAAAAACTGCTTAGTCTAGTTGTTGCCCAGTCTTATGGGGTTGAGAGTTTACACTGCGTGCTTATATTTTATTTCTTTTGGTAACTAACTCTGACTTTTTGCCTATCACTTAAAATCTACCTTTTATAGTCAATAAATTTATTTAACTGTTTATCTTTACCAGTGAGTTTGTATGAAGTGTGTGGCAAATCTGCTCAGGTTTTGCAAAGGCTGGTGTATATCCACTTTCCATTGATGAAGTGGTGAGCCAATTAATAAATTTGCATTGCCCATCTTGAGCAGTGTAAGACAGTATATTCCTGAGGTACAGTGCTGGGAGCTGGAGTGATTTGGCTCTGATGCCTTTTTCTGTGTGATTCATGAGTGGCCCTGGGAGTATTCATGCAATCTAGCTGGGTGTGGGGTCTCCACATGCAGTTGTGCTGAGTGCTAACAGCACCTGGGGGGGCTTGCTGCTGGTCACTAGCAAGGCATTGTGAGAGACAACCCAGGCTGGAGAGACTTAAGGGGGCAAAGCGGTCCCACAGTCCCAGGCTGCACCCCGGGGATCCCATCACACACACATTAAAAAAATGCTCTAAATAGAAACCTAACTCTTCATTCAACCCAAAGCAAAATTTACTTTGACTTGTCGATTTGCCAAAAATTAAATAAAAAAATTTCAATTTGATCTGAAACAATTCGTTTTTAATTTTTCTGAATTGCGAAATATCTGTTATTTGCCCAGCTCTGTATGATACACAAGAACATCGCTTCCAAACAGACAGTGGCTTTGGTCAATCAGACGCAAGGACAGAAATGGAAATTCCATTAAGGCTTTCATTCTTGCCATCAAATTTCAGGATGTTTATAGAAATCTCTTACTTCCTTTTTGGAGATTTTGAATGGCTAAGCAATGACTCCTCCCGTAATACTCGGCTTGTATATAAAATGTTACTAATAAGAATTTCCAATGGTGGTACAAGAAAGAACTATGGGACAAAATTATGAAAGGAAAAATCAATGCATAATTAATTAAGGCTGTGGAATAGTCTCTGAAGAGAATTGGTGGAAGCTTCATGATTTGGGACATTTAAAACTAAACTGGACAAAACATTAGGAAATGTATGATCGAAGAAAATCCTGGCCTGAGAGATGGACTGGATGAGCTAATTGGTTTATTCTATCTTTAAAGTCCAGGATTCTATGATAGTTACTAGCTAATATGTAAATTGGCCTTTAAGTTGAGGGAAAAGAGGATGAAAATATGAAACACTGGTAGATGTATCAGAGATTTAATGAATTAGAGATTTAACGAAGAAAAGTGCAAATGTGGAGTAACTCTTGGACATCAAAGAAGTCTCTCCAGATTTACACTGTAGTGTATTGGTGCCCAAACTTTTCCTGTCATGCTCCCACTTACCAGCAATGGAATCTATCTGCGAGCTCCTCCATTACTACACAATCAAGGCTTCCTCAGCAGAGGAGCTTGGGCTGAAGGGATGGGGGAGGAGCTGGGGCTGGAGGCAGAGCCGGCTTGGGGGCAGAGAGGGAATGAGGGCAGAGCTGGGCTGGGGGTGGAGCATAGGGTGGATTGGAGCTGCGTATGGGGACGGAGCTGGGTTGGACGCAGAGTGGGGCTGGGTGGCGCTCCCTCCCTGCGCCCCTTGTGGGGGCTGGCCAGGGCCCCACCATGTGGTCCACGAATGTTCCTCTGTGCCCCCCCCAGGAGGGCACACCCCATAGTTTGGGGACCACTGCACTAGTGTAACAATGAGCAGAACCTGGACTCAATTCATCCCTGGTTTGAGTTCATTAAATAATGGAATCACACCAAGGATGAAACTGCCCCAACATGTTCCAATTACAACATAAATTTAAAAATATATTAATCAACTAACAGCATTAACTCACACCTGGAACTACTGCCAAGCCAAGGGGGAAAATTTCATGTGCATTTGTTCTTGTGTGTGGTAAGAGGAGAAACTGGTAATGCAATAGTTTGACACAGTACCAACATTTCAATACTGGAGACCTGGGGCAAACTGGTTAATGTCTCCACAAAGTGAGTTCCTCTGCTGAATACAGTGCCCAGCGCACACCAGCTTGCACAACTGGCAATCTCTACCCCAGAACTAATATCAGAAGCCAAAACTGAGGTGAATTAGAAGATCTGATTGGTATGTATTTGCATCACATTTGCCTGCCTCTAGTCAGACCTAGCAGCCTTTCACACCCATGAATAGTTACATCCACACAAAAAGTAATATGCATGTATCAATACATCAGACCTTGGAAATAACAATGAAGGCAATATAGCTTGAGCCATTCTTAATTTCTTTCTTTTATTTGTAAACCAGTGACCTATTACAAACATAAACCAGGTTTTCATTTAACACAATTTTGCAGTAAGTCACAAAACCACAGAATTAAATCTAATGTTGTCCGTAGTAATGGATTTTATTTCAATAAAATCAAACTTTTAGAAAATGCAAATATTTGTGATATATGCTACAGTTTAACATAAGAAGTATTTCTGCAGTTTGGTCTAAACAGAATTAGAGAATTGCAATATAGTTATTGGATGCAGGCTCAAGATTGTCTAATAATGCATCGTATTAGTATTCTTTTAGAATAATAAATCATGAAGTACAGTTTTGCTTGGAAGTATTTATATAAAGTTCAGTGACTATCTTCATATTTTGTCTGACTTTTATATTTTATTGTGGGTTTGGGCCATCCTGATTATCACCACAAATGTTTTTTTTCTCCTGCTGATAATAGCCCACCTTAACTGATTACCCTTGTTATAGTTAGTATGGCAACACCCATTTTTTCATGTCCTCTGTGTGTATATATCTTCCTACTGTATTTTCCACTGTATGCATCCGATGAAGTGGGTTTTAGCCCATGAAAGCTTATGCTCAAATACATTTGTTAGTCTCTAAGGTGCCACAAGTACTCCTCGTTCTTTTTATATAAACAGGAATACTGGAATCACAAAAGTATTAATCATACTAGAGCAGACAATCAGTCTTATGGGTCTGATTTCCTGCCTCCAGTAGTAGTACTAAGTAGTTCAAAACAGAGCAGAGGATTTAGCCACACACTTTCCATTAATTTTCAATAGAAGATGTGTGGTTAAATCCACTGAACTGCTTTGCAAATCTCAACCCTGATTTTTATGGGTCGAATTCCCCTGAAAATTCTGTAATGCTGCATATGTTGGACACCATTTTTCCCTTCCTGATTCTTACAGATAATCAGTTACAGATATATCCTGAGGCATGATGTTTGATTACCTCTATCTGAGGCATGCATGTGATAACTGTAAATGCTATTATTGGTCATAAAATGATCTACTGTAACTCTTTTAAAAGGAAATATTGACTTAACTTGCATCACTCCATTATGCTTTCAGCTGCACCAGTAGGACTGATTATACTGAAATCTGGTTAGAGAAGGAACTGGACTTATGTGTGAAGGCAAAAGAGCATTAGACATGCTCGTCTCAGGAGGGTAGCTTAGGTGCAAGTCATATTCAGCCTGTGCTTCATCAGATCCATCCTTTGCATGCATAAAATAGATATCCAAGGAAATTCAAGTGGGAACCTTGCAGAACTTGTCTTAGCTAACAAAAATGGACCTGATCCTGTGAAGTTCTGACTGCGCTCAATTCCCATGGATATCAACAGGGGTTAAGGCTATTCAGCACATCACAGCAACCAAAAGCATTAAAACTGAAAATGAAAAGGCTGAAATACCTGCACTCCCTGGTTTACCAGTCACTGTGTTTGGAGGCAACGGTTTTCTTCGCACCTGTGTGGGCTTGGCAGGAGCTAAGGGAGGATGCCGACGGTCAGGTGCTGTAGCTACTGTATAAATATTACAAGACAGTATCGTTAGCTGTTTAACCACAAACCATGTAATCAGAAAGAGAAATAGGGCTAACAGCTTTATTTTGACTTCTCAAACAAAGTTTTATGGCATGTGCTTCAGCATTCAGAACAGCAGAAGCACAGAAAGGGAGATCCTGAACGAAGTTACATATTGACCTTAAATTCTCTGCAGGAAAAGTGCATGCCTGCAGGATTAAACCACGCTGTCATCAAACCAAGGCAGCCAAGACAGTCCATTTGAACCGCTCTTTTCTTTGACAGGTTACCCACATGCTTCAGAGATTCATTTAGTGTACACAGTTACTTTTGTCAAGAAGAACATTCCTGTAGGCACAACTGGATATTTTTTCTTCCAAAGGATAACCACCAGCTGAGAACATTCGGAATTCTGCAAATTAAGTGTCCTATTCCCAAATCCCATCAATATTGTAATTTTTTTACTACCTTGCATCTCTGCTCATGACAAAGCTGGCGTCACCCAAAAATACTAAATGATTATTTTATTTTTAACAAATTTTAAGGAAGATTTAAATAGTTTAGTTATGGAACAGGTACAGCATGAGCAGTGCAAACTTCCCTAAACTGAATGGGCAATATGGTTCGATTTTGATCTGGACAGACCACCTACAGGGGTTAACAGGTTGGATAGTCCACCTGTCTCATTCAGTCTTTGGCTTTTCCCCTACAGCTAACTGACAAGAGTGCAATTGTGGGGGCAGTTTGTACAGCAGAACCTCTGAGTTATGAACACCTTGGGAAGGGAGATTGTTTGTAACTCTGAAATGTTCGTAACTCTGAACAAAACGTTATGGTTGTTCTTTTAAAAGTTTACAACTGAACATTGACTTAATACAAATTTGAAACTTTACTATCCAGAAGAAAAATGCTGCTTTCCCTTTATTTATTTTTAGTTGTTTACGTTTAACACAGTATTGTACTATATTTGCGGGGGCATTTTTTGTCTCTGCTGCTGCCTGATTGCATACTTCCAACCAACTAAGGCATGTGGTTGACTGGTCAGTTCATAACTCTGGTATTCGTAACTCTGAGGTTCTAATACACTGTGAACACATGTCCACTAGAAACAAGACTTCCAGCTCATGTTGGATGCTGCTGATGAGACGCCACTCCCACAGTTTTATTACTGTAGTGTCCAAGAGCCTCACTGTACTAGAGACTATTCAAATTTTTTTTATTCCTGGAGGAATTCTGCACCACTGCGCATGCGCAGAATTTATGTCTCCCGCAGATTTCTTTCCTTTCCTGCAGAAAAATGACTGACAGGGAAGCAAAGGGAAGCCACAAGAGTGGTCATACATCTCTCTCCAGCAGTATGTTTTGGGTGCCCAGGGCAGCCCGCAGAGAGGTAAATCACTGTGGGGTGGGAGGCGGGACTGGGGAAGACCCGGCTGATGGCTCCTACCCTACGCCGGGCTCAGCTGCTAGTCCCAGATGAGCAGAGGGGACGGGATTTCCTCTTCCCCTGCACGGCACCTAGGGCCGTGTCAGACCCACCCCCAGATTTCTCCCCCGACTGTAGGAAGTTCTGCAAACTCTCTCCTCCCTCCAGCACTTCCTGCACCCATTGCTCATCAGCTGCAGGGGAAGGGATCACTGTACAGGGAGCTTGTCCCCTATCCGCCCAACCCCTGTGCAACCAGACCCCCTCATGCCCAGCCCCTCCTGCTGATCCTCTCCCCGCACCCAGAACCCCCCCCAAGCCCCACACCCCCAGCACCTGGACCACCCCAACAAGCCACCTGCACCCGAATCCCCGCCCTATTGAGCCCCAACCAGCTGCACATGGTCTCCACCCCACTGAGCTCCACTCCCCCAGCATTTGGAACCCCACACCCAGACCCCTCTACCGAGCTCTGTCCCCCGCCCCCCAGATCCTCCCTTGCTGATCCCCAGCCACCTTCACCCAGACCCCCCCCGCAGAATTCCATTATCATTGTACCCAGAACACCCAACAAGCCCCTGTGCATCCAGATCCCCCACTGAGCTGCCCACACCCAGATTGCCCCACACAGAACCCTCTCACCCCACACACCTGGATCACCCCACACTAAGCCCCTCCACACTTGGATCCTGCATTGCTGAGCCTGCCTGCCCACACCTGGTACAGAGAGGCAGGGCCCTGGGGTGTTTCTGGGGCAGACCCGGTCCTTGCACTGTGTCAGGGTTGGGTGCAGCCTCACCACTGGGTCCATATCCCAATAGGGAGCTGCAGAGTGATCTCCTACCTCTGTGCAGCCAGTGGCCTGTGCTCCCCCATGCCATGCTGGAGTCTCCACATTTATTTGATAAATAAAATTTGCAGAATTTTGCAGAATTTTAAAATTGTGCGCAGAATTTTTTACTTTTTTGGTGCAGAATGTCCTCAGGAGTAAAATGTATAGCCCCATGCATAATTTCAAAAAATATAAAATCCTAGGGGGAGGAAATTGCTGTGTGTGTAAACTACTGTTTAAATTTGCAGTGACATATCAATTTTTTTTAAATAATAAAATAACCAATAGCTGATTCAGTTTCTTCAACTACAGCTGGTGACAATTTCATATAAAATACGGGCTGGTTTTACTTATCAGAATGGCAAAATTGCTTCAACAGAGAGCCTAACCACTCATGCTGATCAACCAGATGTTACCACCTCTGAATTGATAATACTAATATACATCATTCATACAGGAAAAGCTATCTCAATACCCAGTGAGAAGAATGCATTTTTCAGACAGCTATAGTACACTATGAGTTTTGAAGAGGTGTCTTAGAAAAAGACAATGTAAGTATGGATCACAACTGACCACATTTTCCACCAATACCTTGAAAAACAGGATAAATCAAATTTAAGTAGAGACTTTTCTTCTACTATCCATGTTTAAACTAAGGTTGTCGATTAATTGCAGTTAACTCAGACGATTAACTCAAAAATTAATTGCGATTAATCGCAGTTTTAATTGCACTGTTAAACAATAGAATACCAATTGAAATTTATTAAATATTTTGGATGATTTTCTACATTTTTATATACATTGTATTCTGTGTTGCAATCAAAATCAAAGTGTATATTTTTGATTACAAATATTTGCACTGTAAAAAAACAAAAGAAATAGTATTTTTCAATTCACCTCATACAAGTACTGTAGTGCAATCTCTGTCGTGAAAGTGCAACTTACAAATGTAGATTTTTTTTGTTACATAACAGCACGCAAAAACAAAACAATGTACAACTTCATGTAGGTAGGCTTCATGAATAGTACTGAACTTAAAAAATAAAATTACAGTCCACTCTTATTTAAGACAATGACAAAACAGTGTATATCCAATAATCCATTTTGACTGCAGTTCAAAGTATTGGCTTACTTCAAAGCTCTAAAGGCTTACCATTAAATATATAATGTACCAAAATGAACAACAGCAGATGTAGATATTCTTCAAAAATTATATGTATAATATGTCCTTTCAAACTCTTCAAATCCCAGAAGGGATCTACTTAAATACATACTAATTACCTAAATTCAGAAAAAGTGGACTAATCAATTAAAACTGATAGCCATCCTTGGCTTTACCTTACTGCTTGGATGAAGCTACTACTACTACTAGTTTATCATATTGACTTAATCCTTGCTAAGTACAATTTTTAGACTGAATAAACTTTAAGGGACTGAAATGCCAAATCTCAACTGTAAGCCCCATTTCTCTTTTTTTACCCAAGTAAATTAAGTGCCAGTATTCTATCTCGGGATTATGAACACACCACAGTTTATAATTAATTTAGGAGGCTTTTCTTTGCATGCATTCTTTGAAGTTTTAACATCAGACAGGATTCAAAAGGAAAAGCCTTTCAAAAACATCAGTAAGAGCATAAAAGTAAATTCATGCACAGCTTCAGAGAGATGCTAATTTTTTTTCAGATTAAATGCTAGTGAACAGAAACACCAAAGTAGCAGTTAGTATGGGTTCTTATAATGAAGGCAGAATGATATCATGTATATATTCCTTTTCATTAAAAGCATGCAATTCCTAATAAGCTTATTGGAATACAATTAGCTAGATAAAAAGTAATTTGCTGGGTGGGCCACAAAAAACTCCATTAAAGCATGAACAGAGTGATTGTTTTATTATTTTGACAATATGAATGCTTTAAAAAATGTAGAATGTTCATGGGAATTTAATTATTGTGAAAATTGCCAAATTGACAGCCCTGGACAGATACAACACATACAGAGGAAGTGCAAGCTTCCTCGTACTACCTTGCTAATTGTCCTCAACCTTAGCCTGTAGAGTGTATCCTTATGGGTTAGATGGTAATTTAGTCTCATTTAGACCCATTCCATCCTTGGGTCTCTCCTGAGACATCCAACAAGAGTGCCAATCAGTACCAACTGTGATGGTGTTTTTGTAATGTGGCTTCTTGACCACACAGCTTCACCACATAGCTTGCCAAACAACCATCGGATGGTAACAACATTTGGTCCCCAGCAACCTGTGCTGGATATGAACTGATGATCTAGAAGTGTAAATTTCTTTATTCTATCACCAGTCTCCTGAGCCATGAGGACATATTTTTCTGATGAGAAATGAGAGATCCTATTTTATCTACTTCAATAGACATAGTGTGCTTTGTTTTGTTTTTTGTCATCTAAAAAGGCAATTTTATCATTTGTGAGGAACTGTGACATGGTCTTCATAATTAATCTTACCGGAATCTGGATTTTTCCATGTAATATTGGATTCCAGCGATATATTTGAGCCCATGAGAAAGTTGGTAAAATTCTGAACTGTTTCTTTGTCACCTGCGAAATAAAAGAAAATAAAGTAAATGTATACATGACAAAACACACACAACTCATTTTCAAACAAACATGAGCCTTAGAACATACACCTATCATTCATTGTTATTGTATTTATTGAACCTCAAAGTGTGCTAGTTGCTTTCTAGTGCAAGGAAGAAGATATTGGTTCTGGCCCCAAAGAGATGGCAATCTAATTTTAGACACAGCACAAAAAAGGGGGCAACAAGCAGTAGAAAGGGGTAGTGAGAGCAAGGGCTGGGTAACAGCAGGGAGAGTCCATGGTTACTCAAGAAAAGCTAGGGCCCAACATGATATTGAAAAAGGAAACAAGCTTTTTCTCTACATAAATTAAATGTACTGACTCTTGTAGAGGGCCAGCTCTTTTTTCCTCCTAGAAAAGACTGTCTGTTCATCCCCAAGATGGAACCACTGGAGATACACTGAACCAAACACAGACCATATTTGGACTACTGAAGGCAAAATGTGGGTAAAATTCAGTTTGTATATAAAGGACTGTCCTATTTACAAGTAATGTAAACTGATTTAAAAAAAACCAAAGTTGAGTGGCACTATAAAGATCAACATAAATATTCTTGGTACATAACTATTTTTGGTATAACTGTTTTACATATTGACAATTAAGACACATGTAGACTAATCTTAATATGCATTCCCCTAACAAAATGAAGGTACATTTACATATCCCACTGGCTGCACAATGGCTAATGTTGGTAAAATGAGATAGAGGAGATTCACTGCAATTTTGTCACATTTGTGGACAATCCAGCTGAATAGTTCTCCTTAATGTGCTCAGTGTGTTATGTTAAAAACAATTAATCACAACAAAGTTTTATCACAATTTACTTTCCAAATGACTCAGAACATTATGTACCTAAACTTAATTTGGATAACATTTCAAAGAAGTCAACTAAATTAATATAGCACACTATCTGAAAATGAAAACCACAGTCGAATAACTATCAATTTCAAATTCAATTCCAACCCGCCCATGACATTAAAAACAAAGATTTTATAGATTTAACAGCTATCATTAAGATTAGACAAATTAGAGGATTGGGCCAAAAAAAACCTGATGAGGTTCAACAAGGATAAGTGCAGAGTCCTGCACTTAGGACGGAAGAATCCCATGCACTGCTACAGACTAGGGACCGAATGGCTAGGTAGCAGTTCTGCAGAAAAGGACCTAGGGGTCACAGTGGACGAGAAGCTGGATATGAGTCAACAGTGTGCTCTTGTTGCCAAGAAGGCTAACGGCATTTTGGGCTGTATAAGTAGGGGCATTGCCAGCAGATCGAGGAACGTGATCGTTCCCCTTTATTCGACATTGGTGAGGCCTCATCTGGAATACTGTGTCCAGTTTTGGGCCCCACACTACAAGAAGGATGTGGAAAAATTGGAAAGAGTCCAGCGGAGGGCAACAAAAATGATTAGGGGTCTGGAGCGCATGACTTATGAGGAGAGGCTGAGGGAACTGGGATTGTTTAGTCTCCAGAAGAGAAGAATGAGGGGGGATTTGATAGCAGCCTTCAACTACCTGAAAGGGGGTTCCAAAGAGGATGGAGCTCGGCTGTTCTCAGTGATGGCAGATGACAGAACAAGGAGCAATGGTCTCAAGTTGCAGTGGGGGAGGTCCAGGTTGGATATTAGGAAACACTATTTCACTAGGAGGGTGGTGAAGCACTGGAATGCGTTACCTAGGGAGGTGGTGGAGTCTCCTTCCTTGGAGGTTTTTAAGGCCCGCCTTGACAAAGCCCTGGCTGGGTTGATTTAGTTGGGAATTGGTCCTGCTTTGAGCAGGGGGTTGGAGTAGATGACCTCTTGAGGTCCCTTCCAACCCTGATATTCTATGATTCTATGATTGTTTAAGTGTTAGATGTACTGCTCCAACAGTATAAATCAGATAATTCTTTTTAAGTAACTTCTTATTCACTGATCACCATTTATGGGCCTAATCCTGGCAAAACTCTGACTGGCTTCAGTGGAAACAGGATCTGATCTTAAAACTAATCCTGAGAAGTTTTCTGATTACTTATCAAGCTGAACAATAGCAGACTGGTTCCAGTTAAGTCTTCTAGGCAATCTTATGGCAGCTGTCGAGTGGCCGGTGTAGTGGTATAATACCCAGGACAGGTACGTGCTGAGCATGTGATGATAAACCCAAGCCAAAATTATCCCAAAGTCATCAGTTATCATTACAGATGGGACCTGTCATAAAGCAGCCGCTCCAGAGACAGGCTGTGGTACGACAAACCCACCTGCTTCAGTTTCCCCTCAGTCCAGCCTTAAAAAGAGCACAGCCTCACTCACTGTCCAGTTCAAAGTCCCACCCCAGGCATAATTTATGCATGGCACACACAATATTCTGTAGAATCCGTGTGGGAAAACCATTCTCCCAGTTCCCACAGTGAAACATAGAAAAACACAGTGACTTCCATTCCCCTACCCCTGGACATTACTTCAGGTCATCCACCCATGAGTCCACCAGAACTCTGTTCCCAGTTCCTTTCTGCCCTGGGTTCCAGGGCCCCAGTCTCTAGACCATCCACCTGAGCATGACTAGTCTCATGCATCTTCTACCCAAACACAATGCAATGACTCAGCTCTTTTCGGGCTCCTGGCTCTGGCTCTCCAGATCATGAAGATCATCACGCTAGCCCCCGTACTGGTCTCCTAGCCCTCGGCCCTTTTCAACCTCCCAGCACAGGCTTTCTGTCTCAGGAAGGTCAACAGGCTAGCCTCTCCACTGGTCTCTTACCTTTTAGCCCTTTACAGCCTCCCTGCATTGGCCCTCCAGTTTGGTAAAGTCAGCAGACTAGCACCTCTGGCAGTCTCCTTGCCAATTCCTCCCTATTCACAGGGTGGGCCTGCAGACCTTTCAGTTCTCTTCAGCTTTCCTGTCTCTCCTGGCTAACTGTCACTTGTCCTTTAAGTCTGCTCTCAGGCAGTTTTCCAGATCTCCCACGCACCCAGTCTCCTCCCCTCTAGGGCTCAGGTGCCCCCTTTTAAGCACAATTAAGTATACTGGACCCTGCTCCCTATTAAAGGGCTCAAACATCCTATGACAGGCCCAAGCCACAACATTCAAATCTGGATCTGGGCATGCTTCAAAATGTGGGAGGATGTTTGGATGCAGGATTTTGATTTGGGCCCATATCTTACAATGATTATCTTTTCAAAGTACCTTTAACAGCTCTGTATTCTCTCATGATGCTTACTAATAACAGAATGCTTTGCACTTAGCTCTGATTGCGCCACAACCTCAGCTAGTGTAAACCAGCTTAGCTCCACTGACTCCTTTCTGAAACCAATGTGAAACTGCAAACGGCAGATGAGTTCAATGCAAAATAATATATCAGACCAGGATTCCACCCCAGGTTTTCCCTAAATTTAGAAGAAAAAATGATGGTGGTTACTTGACTTCAGTGGAACTACGCTGATTTATACCAGCCATGGATCTGGCGCTCTTACTAGAGATCATAAGAATAGCTATAGTGAGTCAGACAAATGGTCCATCTAGCCCAGTATTCTGTCTTCTGACAGAGGCAAATGCTAGATGCTTCAGTGGGAACAGGGCAATTATCGAGTGATTCATCCCCTGTTGTCTAGTCCCAGGATCTGGCAGTATCAGGCTCAGAGCCACCCACAGCGTAGGGTTGCATCCCTGACCATCCTGCCTAATAGCCATTGATGGACCTATCCACCGTGAACTTATCTAATTCTTTTTTGAACCCAGTTATATTTCTGGCCTTCACAGCATTCCTCTGGCAATGAGTTCCACAGACTGACTGAACATTGTGTAAAGAAGTACTTCCTTTTGTTTGTTTTAAACCTGTTGACTATTAATTTCATTGGGTGACCCCTGGTTCTTGAGTTATTTGAAGGGAAAATAGCATTTCCTTCTTCACACCAGTCATGATTTTATAGACCTCTATCATATTCCCCCTTAGTCATCTATTTTCCCAGTCTTTTACATACATTTAAAACATTTACAAAACTGGGTAAGCACGAATATCCCAGTTTCGCAAATGGGGTGATTGAGGCACAAAAGAAGACAGTAACTTGCTTAAACTCACACAGATTAATTTGCTCCATTCTCACTGCTACTTCCCCTTCAACAGCATCTTCTGCTATTTTTATGTATGTATGTAGTGACAGGGTCAGGCTAGAGGGCTACAGGAGAGTGATCGAAAGTAGATACATTAGCCGCAGATTAAGCAAGAGTAAGATAATGGGCTGTTCCAGAACAATGAGAAAGTTGCTGGAACCAATTATGGCAGGGAGACTAATTAGGACACCTGGAGCCAATTAAGAAGCTACTAGAATCAATTAGGACAGGCAGGCTAATCAGGGCACCTTGTTTAAAAAGGACCTCACTTCAGTCAGTGAGATGCGTGTGAGGAGCTGGGAGCAAGAGGCGCGCAAGGAGCTGAGAGTGAGAAGGTGTATGGCTGGAGAACTGAGGAGCACAAGCGTCATCAAGCATCAGGAGGAAGGTCCTGCGGTGAAGATAAAGAAGGTGTTGGGAGGAGGCCATGGGGAAGTAGCCCAGGGAATTGTAGCTGTCACAGGAAACACTGTAGACAGCTGCTATCCATAGGGCCCTGAGCTGGAACCCGGAGTAGAGGGCAGGCCTGGGTTCCCCCCATCCCTCCATCTCCCTATTTGATACAAGAGGAGTTGACCTAGACTGTGGGTCCCACCAGAGGGGAAGGTCCCTGGCCTGTCCCCCGATCCACAAGGTGGGTCAGCAGAGACTGCGGGGATTGTTCTCCTCCTTTTCCCCCATGCTGGCCAGTGATGAGGTTAGCTGAGTGAACGGCAGGTTTGAGCCACTACAAAAGTAGCCAAACTGAGGGCTGCCATGAATCTCTGAGGCGAGCAAATCCACCAATAAGCGCAGGACCCACCAAGGCAGAGGAGCAACTTTGTCACAATACAGATAAAAAGATAATGCAACATTTTATTGGATAAATAAAATT